TATATGAATACTTAATGATTATTTAACATAAGATCTGATTGATTTTACAACGAAGGTTCCATTATATATATAAATTGTTAATATAGAATCTTTAACTGCTAACTGTATATTAGGTTGGGGAAAAAGAAATCCATTATTTTTGCGTGAACTTTAAGACTTTATTTAACATGTTTCGGATTGTCCGATTTGGGTCAAATATGTACCGTTTCGTTCTATAATTTGTTGCCATTTTAAAGGTAACTACATAATGTCTCTCTCATAGAAGTCTTGGTCCTTATTGGCGAAAAACTCTAGCAATCGATTTTCACAATCATCTCTTGATGCCGATTTCTTATCAATCAGAAATTTTTGCAATGCGAGAAAAAGATAATAATCGCTTGGTGCCTGGTCCGAACTATATGGTGGATGCATTCAAACTTTTCAACTAAGCTCCCGGAGTTTCTGGCGAGTCACTACAGATGTATGTGACCTGGCGTTGTCCTTATGGAACACAACACCTCTTCTGTTGGACAATTCTGGCCGTTTCTGGTCAATCGCTAGCTTCAAACGGTCCAGTTGCTGACAGTAGAGATCCGAATTGTTTCGCCATATGGAAGCAACTCATAATAAATGATTCCTTTCCAGTCCCACTAAATGCACAGCAGAACCTTCCTGGCCGTTAGTCCTGGTTTGGGCACCGTTTGAGCTGCTTCACTGCGCTTTGATCACCATCGTTTTCGCACAGTATTGTCGTATGTAACCCATTTGAAATTACAACGATGGTTAAATCAAACAATTAGATTCATATTCAACATTGAATGATACAAACGTATCACACAATTTTTTCGAAAATTAAAATGGTTCAAATTAAAAGACAGAAGAAAGTACTTTTTGAAAACCTAACTGCGCAGTCTTGACAACACAGATCCTCCTACCTATTTGAAAACATCCTATATAGATCAGATTCAAACATAACTGGTAAGACAACTATGGACCAAGTTGAACACTTCAGCCACTCAACATGTAGAAAATGAATGTACAACAAATCATATACTTACATGGCACTCATAGAACTCATCACCGGATAATATACAATCATCTGTATTTATAAACCAGGTAAATGATGATAATTCAGAAATAAGATAAGTGTTGCATGAGGCGTCAAGTAGTGGTTCCAATATCTCTCTCCGCCCCAATCAAAGAGACGAGGATTCGTACACTAGCTCAGAAGGTATGTTTGATTCTGCCTCGTGTCCGTACATTATATCGCCTCATTCAGAGGAAACATATAGGGATTCGTGGAATATGGTAGAATCACACGATCAAATTTCGTTCAAAAAAGACAATTTAGCGATCTTCATCAATTCTTTATGATGAAGGAGCTAAACAATTGACCAAACTCGGAAAGCTTCCTCAATACAAAGATCTAACATTGGAACCTGCAAGCGTAACAAATTTCAGAAAGAACAAATTAATATCTCTACTCATTGGGGAAACGGACAACATAATGTTAAGTGATGAAATACAAGATTCCGCACTCGTATCGCTATTATCGGCAACACGAGAGCTGGATCTTTGTACGGTATACATTTCAAAAACAGTCAAAGTTAATAATGTACCATGGCAATATATCGAAAAAAGGTTGGGAGAGGTATTTAATGGAGAATTTTGTATGATTTGCATTTGTAAAAATTTGACAAAAACACCTGAGAAACATGAGAAAGAGGATTTAGTACGAGATTATCACGCATCAGGAGTATACATAAAGGGGTAACAAAAACTTACAACAGAATAAGACAACATTATTATTGGAATAACATGAAAATAACAAATATAACTTTTTATTCAAAATTGTTTAGAATGCCAACTAGCAAAATTGGTTTGAATAAATAACAAACATCCGATGATACTAACAGACACACCAGCTGCTGCATTCGATAAAGTAACAATGGATATTGTCGGTCCTCTCCCGTAAACTCCAAAGGGAAATAAATTTATCCTGACAATCCAAGATCAGCTTACAAAGATATCCATCACAGTACTCCTCTGTAACACCACGTCCATTGACATAGTGAATATAATGGTCAATGATTTAATTTGTAAATTCGGAGCACCGCGCGCTATCTTTACAGATAAAGGTACGAATTTTCTAAGTTCTTTTACAAAAGCAATAGCGCGAAAATTCAAAATAAAACAGTATAAGAATACAGCATTTTATCCGCAGTTTAATAGGTCGATTGAGAAGTCTCATTGAAAAGTCGATTGATGGAATATTTAAAAACGTTCGTCAAGAAGGAAAAGGATTGGGACGAATGGTTAGGTTTTGCAAAGTTCTCATATAACACCAGTACTCATGAAGAAATTCGCTTCTCACCTAATGAACTAGTTTTCGGAAAGATAGCCAGGATACCAGCGTCAGACTCGCCATTAGATGAGCATTTGGAATAGACGTATTTTCAATACTACACTAAATTAATAAACAAAATTAATCATACACAAGAGATAGCACGACATAATTGTTGCTATCCTTCCTTGTGAAGGCCAAGAAACGATCAAAGATAAATCCTCAAGTATTAAAGGACGAAGACGAAGCATTTCTTTTAAAGGAATCCACCTTATTATTTGGAAATCAGAACACTGACTCTCGCAAAATTTTAGAAATGCTACCCTGCAACAATATTAAATTATAAGTTAATGGAAGAACAAAGATATTTAATTGTAACAAATTAAAGAAATCGAAACTAAGTCAAACAAATATTAGAATTTAAAGTATTTCAGAGACGTGGGAAAAATATTAGCAGTAGCGATAACGATGCTACTGATGGTCAAAATCTGTGTCGCTTTCCTGTGGTGCGACTACGGAAGAGCGATCACCAATATTACAATATTATAACATTATCACTGTTGGACACTAGGGATAGTGACGCCCTTACCGAAATGCCGAATTCTAGATTTATATACAACTACTCCGGCTAACAAACGCACGCATGTACATCAATGTCATGTGGAACTGAACCGCACGGTACAACATTGCAGAATGGCATCTTACGTGTCAGTCGACCACAACGGGAAAAGAGTATATATGTTGAACACGTCCTCGGCATCATATAAAAACGCGTTCAACACAGCGACCATAGGCATAACTCTCACATTTCAAATATCGAGGTTAAAAGTCAACACTACAGAACATCTAAGTGTTACCTTGGCCGGATCTGTATCCATGGTTGACCGGATTTATATACACTGGAACATAATATGTCGATTCAAATGGCACTTGAGACGACGTAGTAGTGCAAGCATCGGTGAAAATCAACCTGCAAGAATACTTTACCACGGTAAAAATCAAGGATAATAACGTAATTTTCCGACAGGGAACTACATGCAATTTCACGGAAGGCACTTGTATCACAGACGAGGAGGGTAATGCATTCTGGAAAACTGATTCAGTCTGCAATTTCGAGCATTACAATGTGCTATATGAGGGCTTAGCGACAAAATTGACAGTTTTAGGAAAGGCAGAAGCATTCTATATGTTGATTACGCATGACATCATGCTCACACTAGAAATTATTTATGCGGTTACACATTATTAAAAAGTGAACATTTAAAATTGTTTATACTGGAAACACGTACAGGCCGAGCATTTTTATCAAAAATAAAACTTTCAGTTGAGGAGCTTGATCTTTTGCTTACGTGAACTCAAAATTTGTTTTCCTAGAAAAGACAATGAAGAACCAGATGACCACTTTAAATAATGTCAAAACAAAAGAGCAAATTGGTAAAATAGATGTTAAAAAACGCTTTGGCACTGGCTACATTGCGCCTGGATGAGTTCGCGTGATGAAATCAGCCGGTTACATGGCTGTGAAAACGGGAAAAGTGATTTACATCATCAGATGCACTCCGGTACCAGTATAGATAAAACCATCAAAAGAGTATTATAACGAACTCCCGGTCTATCAGCAAAACGTCAGTCTATTTTTAACACCAAAATCGAGCATATTAACACATTGTACGCCGGCCCCGCGAAAACGCGGAATTCGAAGTCTGTCGCTTTAACGGCGACCCTGCGATAATGTGGGATTCTTTTGCTTGGTATTCTGCCTTCTGTTGCCATGATTACGTCGATGTTCATTTTTTTATACCGTCGAAACGTAACGTATACGATGATTCAGCAACAACTAAAACAAGAGTCACTCTCGAGCTGTGTATTCCATGGACAGTACATCTTTCGTAGTTGTACGCTTTTAGTGGAAGAGCATAATAAGCCTTCTTATTCTGTACATTTTTACGCATATAATATGAGTGAATTTACTGAGTATATTGCTGATCCTCTGTCAGATTATTCAGTACAATCAGAAAATACTAACATAGAAGTCGAGGACAGTGATAGTGATGTGGCTCCAAGGAGGAAATCAAAAGCTGTTCTATTACAGTATTCCAGTGAATTCGATGATCTGAGTGATAGTGAAGTGTTCGCAGAATCACTTAGTTATACTGATACTGAATCATGGTCATATGTTGATAAAGCTCCTGATATACCAGAGTTTATTGCTGAACCTGGTCCAAAGATTTTTCCTGCTAATAAGCAAAGCATAAAAGAAATCAAACACCTATTATCATCAAAATAAGGACAAGATATGTAAGGGGAAGAAAATGTTTAAGTGGAATGATGTTTCTCTAGCCGAGATGAAGAAATTTCTTGGTATGATTATATTGATGGGCCAAGTGAAAAAAGATCGAAAAGATGATTACTGATCCTCAAAGTTTTATACCAAAACACCATCGTTCTCGACGATAATGTCACGTAACAGATTTCGCCAGATTTGGGATAATAGCATTTTTCAAATAATCGTACAACAGCTGGGTCTAATAAGCTCGAGAAGATTCGGCCGATACTAAATTATTTATTAAATAAATTTAAATCAGTATACACTCCTAAAAAAGAGCTTTCGCTAGACGAATCTATTATTCCGTGGCGTGGAAAATTGTCTATAAAAACGTACAACCCAGCAAAAATAATGAAGTATGGCCTACTTTGTCGTATGTTATGTGAAGCTAGAAGTGGATATATTTGCAACATGGAAATATACTGTGCGAATGGTAAACAACTGGACCAAATTACGTCATTGCTCGATACAAATATAGGTTTGGCATATCATCTGTATATGGACAATTATTATAACAGTATTCGTACTGCAGAATTGCTACTAAAAAATGGTACTCGAGTTTGCGGTATAATTACAGCGAATAGAGGTATTCCCGAATCTATGAAGCATATCAGATTAAAAACTGGAAATTATACATTTAAAAGAAAAAACGAAATTTTAGTACAGGCAAGAAAGCCAAAACGCAAAATCGTATACATGATCTCTACAATACATTCGGCAGAACTAACAAACACAACAAAAGTACATTTGAAAACAAAACAAGCAATTACAAAACCGCAATCCGTCATTGATTATAACAAATATATGATGGGCGTAGATTTGGCCGACCAGTTTTTATCATACTATTCCATCCTGAGGAAAACAGTGAAAAAGACAAAAAAAACAGTTTTGTTTCTGTTAAATTGCGCATTGTTGAATGCATATAGATTATATGTTGAGTTCAATGGTAACATTATAAGATATAAACAGTTTTTGTATGCTATACGTTTATGGATCGAGGAATACTCAAGTGCTCAAAAAGTATCGACTGATTGTGCGGAAGAAATACCTAAGTCTGCATTAGTTCCTACACGTCGCACACCAAAATATCATCACCCTCAGAGACTTTCGGTTGATATGAAGAAGCACAACGTTACTTGAATTATTGGATCTGGAAACAAAAATTGATATGTACGACGTCCATGCAAAGTTTGCTCTACTAGCAAAATAAGAAACGAGAGTAGTTTTATGTGTGTTCTATGCCTAGTCCCATTACATCTTGGAAAATGTTTTGAAAAATACCATACATCCCTTAAATATTAATATTTTTCTTTCCGTTTATATTATATATATGTAATAATAAATCATAAAATAAGACAGGTGTGTTTTTATAATTATAAATAAAAATTTTTGATTTTACTTCTACTTTTCGTTATCGTTAAATTGTATATGAATTAATAAATTGAATATGGAAACAAAATATAGTGTTTTACGAAAATGTACAAAATTTTAAATATTTTCTTCACGTACTCATTGATTGTAAACAGGCCACTGTCTCGGCTCCGGTGTCCGTCATCCGGGCGGCCCTGGAAAGGGACAGAATAAACGTGGGGTGGACATCAATGAGGGTGCATGGACTCAGGCAGCGGCCCATCAGATGCCACAGTGCCTTGCATGAGGACATGTCGCGGCAATGTGCCCGGCTATAAAGCCTAGGACAGACCTACGCTACGTCTGTGGAAAACTAGACCACCTGACCAAGACGAGCACGAATAAACCTGAGTGTCCGGTTTGTGCAGACGCTGGCCAGAAGCCGACCAACCACCGTGCCGGTTTTTGGGAGTGCCCGGTAGTGCCTCCCAGAAAATGGGTAGACAAGGTGTTCGGGAGGGCACCAAATGTTTGCCCGGAAATAATCCAGAAAGACCCGTATAAGGTCGTGCAAACAACTGCAATGAAGATAGTAAAAGTGACCGAGAAGAAAAGTGCGCATATTGGCTCCATGGTGCGCCGCCTGAGTCGATCGGAGCCTTGCCCGAGGTGGCCGCACTGGAACTATTCTCCTATGCGGCCTACCGTTCGCACTCATGTTCACATACATATCCGCACGATCACTTACACATCCTTCTTCTCGCGTCCGTTCCCTGCGCCTCTCAGCGTCCTCATTTGCACACATGACCCGCCCAGCGAAGGTCCGAAAGACCGTTCATCACGGGACAGTCAGTGGACCCTGATTATCAGGCGAAGGGTTAGCTGCCCTCCCCCATCGCGTCGATCAGTTCATTCCTGGCATCCGTCCACGTCGGGCAGTCGACCAGGATGTGCTCCGCCGTATCCTCACTCCACGCGCAGTGGAAACAACGTGGGGAGGGAATCTTCATTATTTTATTTAAATACGCTAAGAAACAGCAATAGCCGGTCATCAGCTGTGTGGTGTGAAATGTCGTTCCTATAGAGAACAGCCAATCATTCGGCAATAGCTACCCACACGCGTACTCCCGTTGCCTCTAGTGCCCCTACGATCTCTAGTTCCTCAGCTTTCCATGCTTCTATTGCCCTCCTTTCGGCAAGAACACCCAATACAGCCTAAGCACGCGGGGGAACAGCACGGAGTGTGGAGCCTTTGTGTGGTCCCATCAGCTCCAGTCGCTGCTCCACTCGATGTCTGATGCCGCTGTTGCTCCTGCTATTGCTTTCACTGCAGCTGCTGCTGCCACTGCTGCTGCTGTTGCCGCTGCTGTTGCTGCTGCTGCACTTGCTGCAGCTGTTGCTGTACACTGCGGACAGTCTCCGCCAGTGCCTTCATCGACCCATCTGAATGCCTTCCGTCCGGGGTCCTTTCCTTGGTTTTGGCAGCTAAGGGAGTCTCCATCCTCCTGATTACCCTTTTGAGGCGGGTGTTCTTCTCTGATATTTCCTTATTGCGCAGCTCCATGGCTCTCAGTTCAGCCTTCAGCTGCACAATTGTCTCCTTCGCCAACGAAGGATCATCTCCCCGGGTTTGGAGCCTAACTCTTAGGGTCTTGAGCCCCTCCATAGTTATTGAGCCCCTCTTTAGTTATGGGTTCTCTTCATAACCCCCGAGATGTCTCCCTTCAGGTTCCGGCATTTCAGCCTGGCGCTTTCGGCTTCGATGGAGGCTTCCTTCAGCGTGTCGATCACCCTACTAGTCTCCACCTGAGACAAGGCAGGGGTCTCCGCCGGTCCTCCTTCACCCAGCACGGGTCAGTCTACCCCCGACTCATCCTCCTCGGACGAGTACACCACGGGCCTCGCACATTTAATCTTCCGTGTCTCTCTTCTTATAGTCAGGCCGAAGAACCGCATGCGCTCAGCGGCCCTTGTAGCCTTTAACCACTCCTCCAAGTAGCACTCATCCCTACCTACACTTCCTGGTGCATTAGATACACCTCCTACCTGTGGTGCCTTTCCTGATGGATTATCCAGAGCTAGAGCCAGGTTGCCTACCCAGAGCTCCTGGCAGTCGCTGGTTGACGACGGCGGGTGGGCTGCCCTACCACCATCTGACACCGCCGTGGCATGGGTTTCTCAACCACGCCCGCTTATTCCTTTGGTCGTACTATCCATGTTTGATTGAGAAAACTAATATTGAGAACCAGGCTCCCCAAAGGAAGGGAAAGGAACGGAAGGAAGCCAGAGAGAGAGAAAGAATTGAAAAAGATATGACAGAAGAGAAAAGATAGGGACAGCCATACAAGAACATTCATACTCCATTCACACAATCCCTTTTAGTCGCCTCTTACGACAAGCAAGGAGTACTGTGGGAGTATTATACACACCCTACCCACGAGGGGGCTGGTGCCCCTATTAGCCAAAGTTCCTCAGATTTTCACGCTTCTATTGCCCTCCTTTTGGCAAGACCACCCAATACAGCCTTAGTACGCAGGGGAACAGGTTCCTCCGCGTCTCTAACAGCCGCATACGTCTCCGTCAGTTGGGGTGCCAGATGAGCGAGAGGAATAATCCCCGCAATTATCACAGCCGCGTGGAAGAAGACCGTCCTATAGGCACAACACATCCAGATCGTCACCTTCCTCTAGAGGCTCCGAACAGCCCGCCCGATCTTCATCTCCACCACGACGAAGCGCCATCACACCGGCCCCCATAAAGGTGCACCAAGTGGATCACGCCCCTGTACAGCCATCGCTGCTTCTCTCCCGATCCGTGAAGGTTCGGAAGGAACCTCCTAAGGGAACGGGGGATTCCCCCGGCTTTAGCAACTAGGGCCTTGAAGTGGGGCCTAAACGACATTCTTGAGACTATCACTATACCTAGGTATTTAACGCTGGTCATAATTTCTACGCAAACTCCTCCAAGGAAAATCTTAGGGGTAGGAACATTCCTGCGTCTGCAGAAGGCAGAGGCAGAGAAGGCTATGGCCTCCGTCTTTTGTGGCGCCACGTTAAGACCCAATCCCTCGATTACCAAAACGTTCAAGTCCCGCTCAGCATTCATGGTAGCCTGAGACAGGTCCCATCCCGATGACAGAAGGGGCGTGTCATCCGCATAGCAGACAATACGGGTGTCACCTGGCATCGGAGTTCGGAGCACACTTTCATAGACAATGTTGCACAACGTAGGGCTCAAAACGGATCACTCTGGGACCCCACAATATACCTGTCTTTCCATGGCGAGTTCGTATTGGTCTGTACATGCTATGGCGCGATTGTCCAAATAGCTCCTGATGATGCTCACCAGTTAGCGTGGATAATTTTTATGCTCCATCGCCCTGACAATAACGGCCCACGGCAAGGAGTTGAAAGCGTTCGAGATATCCAGACTTATCATGGTAACCACCTTCTTGACTCGCGCCGATTCCTCCACGAAGTTTTTAACATCGAGGACGGCATCCACAGTGGATCTTTCCGTCCTAAATCCATATTCTGACGGGTCTCCTCTAAGTAGCTGTTGATCCGGGCAACAATTACCCGCTCGAATAGTTTTCCTAGTTCGCCAATCACGCATATGGGTCTATATGATCGCGGTGAGTCCGGGAGCGCGTCCCTTTTCTTTTTGATCAGGACGAGCCTCTTCCACGCTGTCGGGAACCTTCCTGTCCTCAAGCATGCGGAGAAGCACTGCGCCAACCCTTTTCCACAGTGTGTCGACGCAGCACGCACAACCACACCTGGTATCCCATCCAGTCCAGGAGCCTTCCTTCTTTTTCCTTTCCTGGCGGCAGCCAAGACCTCCTTCGCAGAGATAGTCAGCTCTGAGAGTGTAGGTTCCTGTGGTTTATCAGTTCCCGGTCCTCCTGGGAATACCTCAGAGAGGATATTCTCCAGTACCTCATCCTCCAGGATTTCAGTTACTGATGAGGCATAAGGCCTAAGTTTTTCCAAGACCAATTTGGAGGGTCTGCCCCATGGATCATTCTCTATGGAGTCCAGCGGTCCCTCCATGAGTTCTTCTTGGCTTCCTTAATAACCATAGTCAGTGCCCGCCTTGCGTCCAGGCACCGCACTATTTCCTCCCAATACTTCTTTTTCCTGTCTCTGGAAAGTTTCTTTACTGTGGCCGTCGCAACAGCTCTAAGGTTCGTTAATTCGTCCGACCACTAGTAAGCACTTTTCCTACCGTAGGTTTGTCCCCTCACCCGGGACATGGACATGTCGCACGCTTGTTTCAGTGTAGACTGTGCCCACTTTACCATCTTGTCCACACAGTCCGCACCGGTCGCACTTCTCCCGCATCTAATTCCACCCGTCCACTCCCCTGACATGAGGGCCGCAGCCAAGTAGTCCTCATCCAGGGAGTTAACCTTCCAGCGAGGAAGCTTTTTATCCTGCGGGCGAGTGTTTCGGACCCCAGCAGCTTTGTACCTGTAACTATACCTAATATATAGGTGGTCCGACAGGGACACAGCCTCATCCACTCTCCAGTCCGAGAAGCGGACGCCAGCCGCCGACGTGCCCCACGTTAGATCTATAACGCTCGACCCCTGTGCTCGAACGCACGTGGGACAGCCAACCCGGTTCAGCAGACCCAGATCCATTCTATTGGCACAGGCACAGAGAAACTCACCCCTTCCGGTTATTCCTGCCTTCCAGGTCCCATCTGCTGGACCGGGCATTAAAATCGCCAGCCACTAGCGCTGGGAGAGCGGGAAATGTTTCTAAGAGCTCTTCAAGCTCATCAAGGAGTCTACTAAACATAATCATGTTCTCGCTGGGAGGAAAGTATACTAAAACTACCAGCGAGTCCCCCCATTTAACGGCTACGTAGAAAAGGCCCCGACGCACCAGGCTACAGGGTCTTCTACTCTCGCCCACAAGCACCGCGGAAAGTGGAGTCCCTCCTAGGGATGAGAACCACCTCTCATCCCCCGGAGGAACCCACCATTGTTTCGCAATGATCGCGAGCTCCACTCTGTCCTGTCGCATACGATGTCCCAGCAAGTCCTGTGCACGGCGCGCGTGGTTTATGTTAGTTTGTAGAACAGCAGAGAACATTGTCTATGGACTCTCCGCTGTTTCTACCACTATTGAGGTGCCCGGTACCCCTTGTTCCACCTCCATGTCATCCTGTGACTTTCTTCTATGGGTCCCTTTCCCTGACACTACACTTTTCCTGTTTGTCGTTGTTTCCGGACCACCATTTGGTGCCCTCACGAACACCTTGTCCACGCATTTTCTGGGAGGCACTACCGGGCATTCCCAGGAACCGGCACGATAGTTAGTTCCGGCCGGCATCTGCGAAAACCGGGCACGCCATCTTGTCCGTACATGCTTTGGCCACGTGGCCCGGTTTCCCACAAATGTAACAAAGGTCTGTCCTGGACTTCGTGGCCGGTCACGTTGCCACGACATGTCCACGCGCAAGGCACCGGTGGCATGTGAGGGACCGCTGCCTGAGTTCATGCACCCTCACTTTTGTGAGTCCCACGTCTATTCTGCACCTTTCCAGGGCCGCTCGGATAACAGGCATCGGAGCCGTGACAGTGGCCTCGCCTAGTCTGCCCCTGCCAATCCTGATCTCTGCAACCTTAATAAGGTTGGGGTCTGTTCCAGACCGCACCTCCAAAAGTGCGTTCCTTATGACGGTACCATTGGCGTACGCGTCCAATCCCACCAGCCTCATGGTGCTCGTACGAAGGGGACGGGTAATTTTTGCCCCTGGGACAGCATTCCTCAAGGCCTCCGCCACCCGGTCGGCCTTCGCATTTGCCCCTTTGCCTCGTACCTGCCATATAAAGGCACCTGTGAGTCCTCTCCTGCAGGACATGGTGCCAATTCCCAGGTCCTTCAGGTTGATTCCTTCCATGGCCCGCACGAGTGCATCCCTGTACGTCGTCTCCTCGGTACAGGATAGGGAAATTGCAGCAACTTCTCTTTCCCTTTGCAACTTCTTCCTCCGTCGTTGCGCACGGTTCCTCCCCTTCCTTTTCTTCTTGGAGGGCGCCTGTACCCGCAAGGGTTGAGTGTCGTTGACTACATCCTTTGATGTAGCCAGGGAGAGTGCATTTGCTTCTCTCCTCTGGACCCGCCTCCTCTTTCGGCCAAGCACCTACATAAAATCATCCTGCGGGGTTAGTAACTTAACTGTACTTACCTGCTGCGCAGTGGGTCGAGTGGACTCAGCACAGAGTGTGGGGCCTTGTGTGGCCCACCATCTCAAGTGGCTGCTCTACTCGATGTCTGCTGCCGCTGCTGCTGCTGCCGCTTCTGCTGCTGCTGTAGCTGGATACTGCGGACAGCCTCCGCCAGTACCCTTAACGACTCGTCTGTATAATTTATATCCGGAGTCTTTGTTTGGCTTTTTTCAGCCAAGGGGTTTGCCAAAGTTTTTTCCTTCTTCTTAATTGCCATCTTGAGGCGAACGATTTGTTCCATCATCTGTCTATTGCGCAGATCACTGGCCCTAAGTTCTGTCTTCAGCTGCGCACTGGTTTCCTTGGCTGATAGAGGATTATCTGCTCGGATTTGGAGTCTTTCACTTAGAGACTTAACTCCTTTCGTCGTTATTTTATGGGAACGTTTCATGATCCCTGAAATGTCCCCTTTAAGATTGCGGCATCTCAACTTGGAATTTTCGGCTTCTGTGGTAACTTCACTGATGCTATCCAGTATCCTACCAGTCTTCACCTGAGACAAGGGGGCTCTGCCTGTCCTTCCTAACTAAATACGGGCCAGTATACCCCTGACTCCTCCGAGGCAGAGTACCTGTCGGACCACCTGTATGTTAAATATAGCTATAGGCACGAGGCTGCAGAGGTCTGAAATCCTCTCCCACAAGATATAAAGCCCCCTCATTGGAAGGTTAATTCCCTTGATGAGGACTACTTAGTTGCTGTCCTCATTTCAGGGGAGTGGACGGGTGGAACTAAGTGCAGGGAGAGTACGGCCGGTGCGGACTGTGTGGACAAGCTGGTGAAATGGGCACAGTCTACACTAAAACAAGCGTGTAATATGGCCATGTCCCGGGTGAGGGGACAAACCTACGGTAGGAAAAGTGCTTACTAGTGGTCGGACGAATTAACGAACCTTAGAGCTGTTGCGACGGCCACAGTAAAGAAACTTTCCAGAGACAGGAAAAAGAAGTATTGGGAGGAAATAGTGCGGTGCCTGGACGCAAGGCGGGCACTGACTATGGTTATTAAGGAAGCCAAGAAGAACTCATGGAGGGACCGCTGGACTCCATAGAGAATGATCCATGGGGCAGACCCTCCAAATTGGTCTTGGAAAAACTTAGGCCTTATGCCTCATCAGTAACTGAAATCCTGGAGGATGAGGTACTGGAGAATATCCTCTCTGAGGTATTCCCAGGAGGACCGGGAACTGATAAACCACAGGAACCTACACTCTCAGAGCTGACTATCTCTGCGAAGGAGGTCTTGGCTGCCGCCAGGAAAGGAAAAAGAAGGAAGGCTCCTGGACTGGATGGGATACCAGGTGTGGTTGTGCGTGCTGCGTCGACACACTGTGGAAAAGGGTTGGCGCAGTGCTTCTCCGCATGCTTGAGGACAGGAAGGTTCCCGACAGCGTGGAAGAGGCTCGTCCTGATCAAAAAGAAAAGGGACGCGCTCCCGGACTCACCGCGATCATATAGACCCATATGCGTGATTGGCGAACTAGGAAAACTATTCGAGCGGGTAATTGTTGCCCGGATCAACAGCTACTTAGAGGAGACCCGTCAGAATATGGATTTAGGACGGAAAGATCCACTGTGGATGCCGTCCTCGATGTTAAAAACTTCGTGGAGGAATCGGCGCGAGTCAAGAAGGTGGTTACCATGATAAGTCTGGATATCTCGAACGCTTTCAACTCCTTGCCGTGGGCCGTTATTGTCAGGGCGATGGAGCATAAAAATTATCCACGCTAACTGGTGAGCATCATCAGGAGCTATTTGGACAATCGCGCCATAGCATGTACAGACCAATACGAACTCGCCATGGAAAGACAGGTATATTGTGGGGTCCCAGAGTGATCCGTTTTGAGCCCTACGTTGTGCAACATTGTCTATGAAAGTGTGCTCCGAACTCCGATGCCAGGTGACACCCGTATTGTCTGCTATGCGGATGACACGCCCCTTCTGTCATCGGGATGGGACCTGTCTCAGGCTACCATGAATGCTGAGCGGGACTTGAACGTTTTGGTAATCGAGGGATTGGGTCTTAACGTGGCGCCACAAAAGACGGAGGCCATAGCCTTCTCTGCCTCTGCCTTCTGCAGACGCAGGAATGTTCCTACCCCTAAGATTTTCCTTGGAGGAGTTTGCGTAGAAATTATGACCAGCGTTAAATACCTAGGTATAGTGATAGTCTCAAGAATGTCGTTTAGGCCCCACTTCAAGGCCCTAGTTGCTAAAGCCGGGGGAATCCCCCGTTCCCTTAGGAGGTTCCTTCCGAACCTTCACGGATCGGGAGAGAAGCAGCGATGGCTGTACAGGGGCGTGATCTACTTGGTGCACCTTTATGGGGGCCGGTGTGATGGCGCTTCGTCGTGGTGGAGATGAAGATCGGGCGGGCTGTTCGGAGCCTCTAGAGGAAGGTGACGATCTGGATGTGTTGTGCCTATAGGACGGTCTTCTTCCACGCGGCTATGATAATTGCGGGGATTATTCCTCTCGCTCATCTGGCACCCCAACTGACGGAGACGTATGCGGCTGTTAGAGACGCGGAGGAACCTGTTCCCCTGCGTACTAAGGCTGTATTGGGTGGTCTTGCCAAAAAGAGGGCAATAGAAGCGTGAAAATCTGTGGAACTTTGGCTAGTAGGGGCACTAGAGGCAACGGGAGTACGCGCGAGGGCGGCTATTGCCGAATGGTTGGCTGAGTGGAGTGGGCGACCGTTCTCTATCGGAACGACATTTCATACCACACAGCTGATGACCGGCCATTGCTGTTTCTTGGCGTACTTAAATAAAATAATGAAGATTCCCTCCCCACGTTGTTTCCACTGCGCGTGGAGTGAGGATACAGCGGAGCACATCCTGGTCGACTGCCCGACGTAGACGGATGCCAGAAATGAGCTGATCGACGCGATGGGGGAGGGCAGCTAACACTTCCTATGTTAATCAGGGTCCCACTGACTGTCTCAGGTGTTGCCTCGAAATATGCTACGCCTCACTGGCTACTCCCGAAGTGGACAATACACGCGAAACCACCGGTGCGATAGGCACGGATCTTCAACTCGAGGCACCGCGGGCCACTTTAGCAGAATCTTGCGCATCCACACGCGAAAACGAAATGACTTCGGCTAAGGCTGCTCCCTTTTCCGTAAATTGTGCGTTCCCAAAAATTCACTTATTGCAGCTAAATATGGAACATTCTAAAACAGTAACAGGCGAATTGCGGGAACTGATTAGCCAAAAGCGCTTGGACGTGCTGCTTTTACAGGAGCTGTACGACCAAAAGCAAGGGACAGGATACGACATTACAGGATTAGGCAACGGAACAAGAATTGCTGCTATTTGCGATGAAAGACCCAGGTCTGCGATCGCGGCGATCAACCCGAACATCGCGTTGCTCTTTATCTCGCAGCTCAGTACTCCGCACTACGTCTGTGCAGAAGTGCAATTACCCGGCTCATTCTTTTACATCGTCTCTCATTACTTTCAATACAGTGACGAAATAGAGGAGCAGGAATCGGTACTTCGTGCCCTAAGGGGGGGAGAGAGTAATAGTATCATTGGACGCCAACGCGCGATCACCTCTCTGGGGCCCTCGGGATACAGACGAAAGAGACTCGAAGTTAGAAGTCCTCATCCGGGCATCCGGGTTAAAAGTTATTAACGAGCCGAAGCAGTTTCCCACCTTTTGGACGACGAGAGGCTTCTCATCCATCGACGTAACCCTCTC